ACCACAATTAAGAAGCTTCAGCGCTACCAGAGACTGGCATGTATGGCTGCCACAGGCTGCATAAGAACTACGCCAACAGCAGCCTTGGAAGCGATGCTGGAGCTAACTCCGCTTCATCTACATATACAACAAGAAGCGACTTTAGCTGCCATCAGACTCAAGACCCTAAATCTTTGGAGTAAGAATAGTGTCCCTCATACAGGCATAATTGATAGAATTTACTCAGAAATTCCTATCCTAGCAGCCAAATACGATAGGATTCCTAAACAATTTGTTTTCGATAAGAAATACAAGATACAATTAAATGAAAACAGCCAGCCGGAAGGATTAAGCCCAAAAGAGCTTAGAATTTTCACCGATGGTTCTAAAACAAATGAAGGTGTAGGTTCTGGAGCTTTCTCTGAAGACCTCAATATTCACATATGCACACCGCTGGGTACCTATAACACGGTCTTTCAGGCGGAATGTATGGGTATCATTCAAGCGGCCATAGCAATAGATGCTAGGAAGGTTAATGACTTCCCCATCAGAATACTGACCGACAGTAGGGCGGTACTACAAGCTCTGAGTTGCAATGGGGTGAACTCGGGACTAATATATGAATGCCATCAACGATTAAATGAGGTATGTAAAAACAACAATGTGACTCTGCAATGGATAAAGGGACACAGTGGATCCAGAGGCAACGATGCAGCGGACGAACTGGCCAGAAGAGGATCGGCTCTGGCCACTATAGGGCCGGAACCAATCATACCAATCCCCTTTGGTAACATTCGTTCAATGGTACGTAGACACTTCACTAATCAACACGCTCAGCTTTGGAAAAATCTAGTAGACTGTAGACAAGCTAGAGAGGCCCTACCTGTAATAAACAGTCGCTTAAGCAAAGTTCTAATGAGACTGAACAAGCCGCAGATCAGGATAGTAACTAGTGCTATCACAGGACATGGCATCTTTAACAAACATTTATTTACTATAGGTGTTACAGATAGTCCCCTGTGCAGGGCATGTATGGGGGAGGAAGAAACGGCGGCCCACGTGCTACTGAAATGTCCGGAGGTCGCTACGTACAGGGCTAAACATCTCGGCACGCCGGGATCCACTCCCCGAAGTTGCATGCAACATCAAGGGACTGTTGAGCTTCTTCGGGGAGATCTCATGGCTCAAATAATCACATTATTCCTGCCCACACGCAAAATACGCGCATAGACGTGGAGTTGCGGAAAACAGCCCGTCGCAAACTAAACTAAACTAAACTATCAATTTGGTTTCAGAAGGGGTCGCTCGACAACTGATGCTGGTGTTGAGCTGATTAAATATATATTTAATGCATGGGAGAATTCACAGGATGCTTTGGGTGTGTTCTGTGACCTATCCAAAGCCTTCGATTGTGTTCACTATGAAACATTAATCAGGAAACTTCAACACTACGGTGTAAGAAGCGATGCTCTTAAATTAATTATTTCATATTTAAGTGACAGAACGCAAAAAGTTGTCATTAATAGTATGAGTTCTTCCGGGTCGATTGTACAAATGGGCGTGACTCAGGGCTCAATTCTCGGCCGCTTTCTTTTTCTTGTATATATTAATGACTTACATAGTAGTTAGTTTAGTTTAGTTTACGACTTGCTGTTTTCCACAACTCCACGTCTAAGCGCGTATTTTTCGTGTAAGCAGGAATAATATGGTTATTCGAGCCATGATATCCCCCCAAAGAAGCTCAGCAGTCCCTTGATGTTGCAAGCAACTTCGGGGGAGCGATCCCGGCGTGCCGAGATGTTTAACCCTGTATGAAGCGACTTCTGGACATGTCAGCAACACGTGAGCCGCCGTTTCTTCCTCTCCCATGCATGCTCTGCACAGGGGGCTATCAGTAACACCTATGATGTTTGTTAAAAGAGCCATGTCCTGTGATAGCACTTGTTACTATCCTGATCTGTGGCTTGTTCAGTCTCATTAATACCTTGGTTAGACGACTATTTCAGGTAGAGCCTCCCTAGCTTGTCTGCAGTCTACTAAATTTTTCCAAAGCTGAGCGTGTAAATTATTGAAGTATCTACGTACCAGTGAACGAACGTAGCCAAAGGGGATTGGTATTATTGGTTCCGGCCCTATAGTTGCTAGGCCAGTTCATCTACTGCATCGTTGCCTCTAGATCCACTGTGTCCCTTGATCCATTGCAGAGTCACATTGTTGTGCTTACATTCAATTGTTGATGGCACTCGTATATCAGTCCCAAGTTCGTCACATAGCAACTCAGAGCTTGTAGTACTGCCATACTGTCAGTCAGTATTCTGATGGAGAAGTCTTTCACCTTCCTAGCATCTATTGCTATGGCCGCTTGGATGATACCCATGCATTCAGCCCGGAAGACTGTGTTGTGGGTAACCAGCGGTGTGCATATGTGGATATTAAGGTATTCAGAGAAAGCCCCAGACCCCACATCCTCATTTGTCTTAGAGCCGTCTGTGAAAACTTTGAGCTCTCTTGGACCCAATCCTTCCAGATGGTTAGTTTCCTTCAATTGTATCCTGTACTTCTTATAGAATACAAATTGTTTCGGGATCCTATCATACTTGGCTTGTAAGATAGGAATTTTTGAGTAAATTCTATCGATTATATCTGTATGGGGACTCTACTCTTACTTTTTAAAACCAATGAAGCCACCACTACACGAAAGCTTCAGTGTTACCAGAGATTGGCTTGTATGACTGCCACGGGCTGCATAAGGACTACACCAACAGCAGCTTTGGAGGCTATGTCGGAGTTAACACCGCTTCATCTACATATACAACAAGAAGCAACTTTAGCTGCCATTAGACTCAAAACCCTACCTTACATAGTAGGGGATAACCATGATATAGTATTATTTGCTGATGATACTTCATTAATTTTCAAATTAAACTGACAGTTATTAAATTATGACGAAGTAAATAATGCTATATCTAAGTTAGTCAATTGGTTTAATGTTAATAATTTGCATTTGAATAGAACTAAAACTAAATGTATGAAATTCGTAACTCTTCGAACTGAGTCTTGTTGATACCACCATTTTTCTTGGAATCACACTAGACGCAAAGCTTCAATGGCTCTCCCATATATCAAAACTAGCTAGCAGACTTAGTTCTGCAGCATATGCTGTAAAAAAGATTAGAACTCTTACCAGTGTTGAAACAGCTAGAATAGTTTAGTTACTTCCATAGCATTATTTATGTCGTATGGTATTTTGCTATGGGGCAGGCAATTGACACTGAAATTATATTAATTTACAGAAGAGGGCCATTAGAGCAATATATAATTTAAAACCAAAAGAGTCACTGAGACAAAAATTTAAGGAAATTAACATATTAACTTTGGCCTCTCAATACATTTATGAAAATGTAATGTACATACACAAAAATAAAAGTAGTTTTGCGAAAATAAGTGATATTCTCTGTATATGGAAGAAGTAGTCAGTATTTCATTCTTGGGGCGATGTATATGCTTTTACAACAAAATCCCAGAAAATATACAAAATTTGTCATACACAAAGTTTAAAAATGTTATTAAACTAAGTTTGTATAAAAAGGGTTATTATAATATTAAGGAATTTATGGATAATAATAACCCCTGTGAAGGGTGATCGCTACCAAGCTATTTCTAATTTGTCTTGTGTTGTTGTATTGTAAGCTATTATTGGGAAAAAAAATAGTCCCGCTGGGTTTCTTGCTGGTTCTTCCCAGGACAGAGGTTTTTTTTTGCGAACCAGTGGTAAATGAAAAAAGTGACTTTCAATAAGTATTGTTATAATCTACATTGAATAAAAAACTTTCTGTTTGTGTTTCTTGTGCCCAGATGTGGGAAGTGTATATTAACTTTAATTTACTTTATTCAGACACTTTTCGGGGGTGTGACTTGGAGCCGGGTTGCCAAGGATAGAAACAGGTGGAAAAGGTTGGAGGAGGCCTTTGCCGATTGGCAATCAGCAGAAGACAATCTAGATTTTATATGACTTAGATATTAAGAAATTGTATTACGTACTGTTGAATAAATGGCTTTGTATATATTCAGACACTAGCTTTAACCTACGACTTCATCCACATAGATCTGATATTCACTAATAGCTTAAAAGTTTACATTTTATTTGTCATACTATTTTTGCGTATCTCTTTGTCAATATTCAGATGAGTAAATGAAAAAAAGTATATTACTAGTCCATGACTGGACACACTGTATAACATTAATGAAATATATTAATGTAATATGATTCTCATTATTAGTAAAAATATTCATCACATCACCCCCAAATCATGCACCAAAGCATGTTAAATTTATGCAGAAAAAAGTATTAAATTAAATTAAATATGATAAAAAAATAGATATCAAGGACAGATAAAATGCAAAATTAAGTGATAAAGTAAATAAATAAATAAAACCAAGAAGATATGAGCTCTCAGCAGGGTGACCAAATGTCCAAGGGTTAGGAGAATAAATTCCTTAAATATGCAGGTTTTGTCACTGCTGAGCACATGGTAAATCAGCACTTAAAACTGCAACTAAATATTTCGATGTTGCTCTCGGGTATCCAACAAGGATAACTTGCATACTGCCAAAGTTATTGCTCTTATAATAAACTATGATAGTAAACAATTTATTTAATATACAAGGTGTAACATATTAAATGCAAGCCCACTCATGAGGTTACTCAGACCATCAAATGAAAAACTTTCACTATGGGACCAACTTCGAAATACGAAAAAAATCGTTTACATTTTGTATGACACAACTAAATTTTCGAAATTTATTTTGAAGGTGGTCCCATAGTAAAAGTTGTTCAATTAGATGGTCTGAGCCCCCCCACGAGGGTTTGTGTTTAATATGTTGTATCTTGTATATGTTACACACACATATATAATAAATAAACTGTCACAAACCAAAGGTGGTGCTGCACTTGCCGAACTGTAATCAGTGGCATGGAGACATTCCCTTTGAGCTGTCTAATGTGTATAAATAAGTCTTACATTTCTTTCTGCTCACGGATAACAGCTTTGCCACCTGAGCAGCAGTCCCTTTCATCTTTCCCAAGACTTGTCTTCTGAGTTGCTGAAAGCCTCTGGACTTTAGTGGACAATTGTTTAATCTTTTCATTTTGGCTATTAATGGTACGTTTTAAGTCCACATTACTGTCAAAGAGGGCAAAGTAGAGGTCCTCTAGTTCACGCTTGCTAAGCTTTGAAGGGCAAGCTCGAACAAGTTCTTGAAATTAAAAAGAAATTTAATTAAAATTTACATTTGATGAAGGTAAATAAATTTCACAATTTAATATAACTAGCTGTAAGGACATGTATATTGTAGATGTTTATTTAGGTAAAAACATGTACAAGTTGTAGTTATGAACAAAATCTTTATATAAAATAATGTATATATGTCAGTAAAAGAACCCACGAGAGAAGTAGGTAGTTTGGTAGTTTTATTATCCTAGATATAATATAGTTATAGATCATTACCACGATCTGAAATTTTTGTAGTATGCCCTTTACATGTTTCACGTAAAATTTCTTGCTGTACAACATTCATTATAAATTAAAATTATGTACTATTAAAAAGTAAGTCGTGAAAATTTGGGATTTCATTCTGTCTAAAAAACTGAAACTTCAACTAACTCTAACATTACATTCATCGTTTTCTGGCATTGGATCTTGGAATACGCATCATAATTTTAATTAGCAATAAATAAGGATTTTTCTATTGATCATTAATTTAGTACTCGTTCCCACTTTGGTTACATTGTTTGACATGAGTATTACGAAAATGCCGCCATAGCAACGTTTTGTCCTTGGTCCTTGGACCATAGATTTATATTATTTTTCTTATGTAACGGACCTGTTTCATTATATTTTTGCCTCTGTCAAATAATAGAAAATTAGTAGTTACCTATTTCCCGTTATCTATAGATTTAGAATTATTACACAAAATTGCATCACTAATACATATCGAAATCCACTTCAAGCTATTTAACAGGAATAACAATCCGCCAGCCTTGGACAAATTGTCATAATGGACGTATATTATTATATATTATTATTATTATATGTATATGTATATTATATATATATGTATATATATATAATTATATATATATATATATATATATATATATATATATATATAATACGTATATATATTAGTCATAAAATGTTGAGAATCTTATATCTGTGTATCTAACTTGTGATCATATATAGGTATTTGTCTATTCCACAATTCCTGGCTACGAGTACACTGACCTCTTTAGATAGACCTCAGACAATATTTTGTCCGAGAGAGGGACTGGATACCATGCAGGTTAGAGAACAGGAGAACGATCACTACGAGGGTGGATTGAAAAGTACTCGGCCTAACACAGATCCATTCAATTCTAAAAATCAAATCTACCCACATTATTTAGTTCAGTTCAGACTAGTTCATTGTGTGAAGTTCGAAACGTGTGCGATAATTAGTTGTGATTTTATAAATTTATTACAAAGTAATCGGACATAATTTTCGCGAATGGAGCAAATCGAGCAGCGTGCCGTCATTAAGTACCTCCATAAGAAGGGGCTATCATCAAAAGCCATTCATGATGACATAGTCAGTACATTAGGCGATTATGCTCTGTCATATTCATCCGTCAAAAAATGGATAGCAGAATTTAAGCGTGGTAGAGAGAGTGTGAAAGATGAACCCCGCTCTGGAAGGCCTTCGACGTCAACTACTGACGAAAATATTAAAAAAGTACTTGATTTAATAATGGGAGACCGCAGATTAAAAATTAGAGAGATAGCCGAGATTATAGGCATCTCTTATGAACGAACTCAAAACATCATTGTCAACGAGTTGGGTTTCCACAAGGTGTCTGCGAGGTGGGTTCCGCGACTGCTTTCAGTTGAACAAAAAAGGACGCGATTGACTATTTCACGCGACTGTTTGGAGTTATTTGAAGCCGATGCAGATGATTTTTTGAATCGTTTTGTTACTATGGACGAAACATGGGTTCATTACTGTACACCGGAAACAAAACAACAATCAAAACAGTGGAGAAGACCCCTTAAAAAGGCTAAGTCGATTTTGTCGGCAAATAAGGTGATGGCTTCAGTATTCTGGGACTCGAAAGGTGTGATTATGATTGATTATCTTGAAAGGGGTCAGACTATAAACTCTGATTACTACTGCACCTTACTACGTCGTTTACGAGAGGAAATAAAAGAAAAACGTCGAGGAATGCTCAGAAGAAAAGTCCTGTTTCATTGTTCACACGTCAGTACAGTCAATGGCTGAAATTCACAACTGTGGCTTTGAACTGTTACCGCATCCGCCGTATTCACCTGATCTGGCACCATCAGACTTCTTTCTGTTCCCTAACCTAAAAAAGCACTTGGGAGGTCAAAGATTTTCGACAAACGACGAGGTCAAAGCAGCTGTAGACGCATATTTTGACTCTAAGGAAGAATCATTTTTTTTCAACGGTCTAAATGCTTGGAAGGGGAGGTGGCAAAAGTGTATTGAACTTGATGGTGATTATGTAGAAAAATAAAAATATAACTGATTTAGTATGTGTTTATTTTCTTGGTTAGGCCGAGTACTTTTCAATCCAACCTCGTACGTACTAAAGCATAGCCCGCCTGTCCTTGAAAATCTTAGAATACATAGCGGCGCTGACGTCGGTGAGTAGTGACTGCGAAGTTAGCTGTTTATGAGTACAAGTAGGTGAAGTTAGTTGAATATTGTACAAATTTTCATTTCATTTTTTCGTAGAAAATTTAAACATTAAAAAATGGAGAAATATTTTATTGTGCGTGGATGTGCAAGTGGTTGAGCATCTGATTGGAAAAATAGACCGCAAATGACTTTTATTGACTGCACTTAGTGATCGCAGCGCCTCACTGATGCTGTCCATATTTATGGGACACTATTTTCTACGGCGATCGTTCTCCTGTCTCTAACCTTCATGCTGGATACACACCGTGACATAATGAGGCGATTTAATTTGCGCCATTTTGGCGCTGACAGCAGAAGTGAACGTCCACGGAACTAATAATAGAGATAAGACAGTGTGACAAAACATATCGATAAAAATTCTATAGCCACGCGTACCCGTAACGTCTATTCTATTTATATCCCCTTTTCCTTCTCAGATAAGGCGCACCAGAAACTCAAGACGCACTGCCCTTCACCTTCATCCACCTGCACAACAGACACCTCGAGCCGAACATGTGGAGGCAATGGAACCATGAAAAAACGAGCACACAGGAGCACTAAGTGATGCAGCCTCGCCAAAGTCGCACCAATCGCCATACCAACACTCCTCTTCCCTTGCGACTCCACCTCGGGAGCTTTAAGTATATTTTTTTTGCGCCTGAAGCAAAATATGGGCAACCCTCCGAAAAGCGGGGGATGGAGGTGGGGAACGCTCATAGCATACCACGCAGCGGCAGCGTGGTTATGTGGAGACTTTTACCCACTAAACCCCACCAAGCCAATCCATAAAGGCTTACCGATCTGACGAGAGATCTTTAAGCCGTATACGGACGCGACCCTCCTTAGTAGAAAGCTTGGCAAACGGCGAAAAGTCGCTTAGAAGTATGCCTAACTAAGGCAGATTAAGGGATGTATTAAGTAGGCTCGGCCTGAGCCGCCAAGAGGCAGTTCAGGTCAGCCGAAAGCTTGTTGTGGGGGTCCGAGAGAGAGTTTCTAGGTCAGCGCACACTATAGCGAGTGTGGAGAGGGGCTGCATAGGCAGCTGTCTCACGAATGAGATGATTTGGGTGGGACTCTGAGGCTTTGAAAAATCTCTCAGAGAGTGATTTAAGGAACTGCTGGATTGTTGGGAGCTCTAAGTCTCGGAGTAGGTCGGCATTACAGACGTAATAGGGCGAGTTAGTGGCCCTACGACAGAATAGATTTTGAACTATTTGAAGTTCATTTATAACTTTAGGTTTAGCATGTGCGAAAATGGGGGCCGCGTAGGTCATGACAGGTCGTATGCAGACCTTATATAGGATACGCTTGTTGCGGAGGTACATTTTACTGTCTCTGCCCAACATGCTGTTGAGCCTACCCATGTAAAATCACGCGGTGCGATTCTTGATATGGGGGTCGAAGGTGAGCCTTGTATCAAGGGTGACGCCTAAATATTTGGCTTTTGTTTGCCATGGGACAGGGGTTCCTAACATCCTGATTGGCGGAGTGGCGGTGAGACGGCGTCGTTTATATTCGAAGCAAACGGCGGAGCTCTTCTCCGTGTTTACGTCAATACGCCATTTTTGGACTCTTAAATAGGGACTGAATAAATTAAAGGACTTGGTATTTACATGGATCTCACAACTTTTTACGATAGAAGAACTGTTGCGAGACTTGTTTTTTTTTTACAAGTTATGTTTTTGATGGCATCTCATTTCTTTTTTCAGATAGTCCTACTTTTTTCCTTCCGGTACCTTCTACTTCTCGATTACCAACAAAGTACCTACCTTCACCGTTTATTTCATTATATTATACATATACAGGTACACTGATTCATGCACTGCAAATGTAACTTTGTAATCCTTTATATGGGATTACAAAGTTATTTATGCAGTTAGTGTATCTAGAAAACTGGACTGAAATAGTAAAATATTTTAGTTTTTCCTTGATTTTTTTTAATACCTTTATTAGGCGCCAGTCTCTCACAAACTAGGATTCAATACGTTTATAGTTCAATATGTTTGTCATTACCTGTTAGTGATGAGAAAATAAATATAAATTCTATTCTAAATTGTGTTAGCAAATAATACAATTTATGTTACAGCATATCACTTTTATTTCATCCGTTTATAACTCACAATTTATTAATCGTACAAATAATCACTGTTACTTAGTACCTTCACTATATCTTTACACCAAAAACTGTCAAGTCCTTTAAAGTATCAATACCTTAGAACTGAATAGAACTGAATGCCCCGCTTGGGTCGTGACGGCCATATTTATCCTCTTTTGTTAGGAGTAAAATCCGAAACTATTACAATGAAAATGTTACCGGAAATTCAAAGCCACAAAAGCGGAAATCCGATTTACATTTATTAAAGTAGATGGATATTTCAAGAGATAACTTACATTAAAATTAGGATCATTCAATATGTTATGCTTAATTGTTCTTTGTACTTAATTGCCAACAATCGGCCTTTCCTGACATTTTCACGTCTCGTGAAAGGAAAGTATAAAATGTATTATCATATTAAGTTATCATATTAAGTTAATATTATTTGTAATTTCACTGTTTATTTTGAATTAATGAAATTACAATGCAAAGAATATTGAAACCCAATTCATGTCTTCAATATTTACCTGCATGAGACCCCTTCATGTTCTCAACAGGTAAGAAAGAAGTATAGAATACTGAAGCCCCATTCATGTCTTCAATATTCACCTGCATGAGACCCCTTCATGTTCTCAACAGGCAAGAAGTAAGTAAAGAATACTGAAGCCCCATTCATATCTTCAATATTCACCTGCATGAGACCCCTTCATGTTCTCAACAGGCAAGAAATAAGTAAAGAATACTGAAGCCCCATTAATGTCTTCAATATTCACCTGCATGAGACCCCTTCATGTTCTCAACAGGCAAGAAAGAAGTATAGAATACTGAAGCCCCATTCATGTCTTCAATATTCACCTGCATGAGACCCCTTCATGTTCTCAACAGGCAAGAAGTAAGTAAAGAATACTGAAGCCCCATTCATGTCTTCAATATTAACCTGAACGAGACCACTTCATGTTCTCAACAGGCAAGAAGTAAGTAAAGAATACTGAAGCCCCATTCATGTCTTCAATATTTACCTGCATGAGACCCCTTCATGTTCTCAATAGGCAAGAAGTAAGTAAAGAATACTGAAGCCCCATTCATGTCTTCAATATTCACCTGCATGAGACCCCTTCATGTTCTCAACAGGCAAGAAATAAGTAAAGAATACTGAAGCCCCATTCATGTCTTCAATATTCATTTTACTAATAAATGATGACATTAATATAAGGTATTATGATAAACAAAAATAATTATAAACAAATATCAATATTGTTTTTTTTTTCAACTAAAATTATTTACGTAGTAACTAACTAAATCAAAAATATTATTCATTTCTAATCATTACATAAAGGAAGAAAATAATCCTTGCAACACTAATAACTAATTATTTGTAATCATATATTTATTCATTCATCGGTATTACTATTTGGACCGTATTAGTATTTTAGATTAGTATCACTCATAGTTTCGTTGATAAACCAACCAAGGATGAATTTTATCAACGGAAAATATACCACTAAAACGTCTACCCTTGCGTGATATAGGTGTATCTTCGACTACATATCGATCGTTATCGAGAACCTTACATATACGATAAGGACCGAACTTTAGAAATTAATTTTCTGCTTTTACCTGTTGAAGGAATCTCTCTCTCTATTCTAACCAAATCACCTACAACGAACTTTAAGATTTTCCGCTTCTTCTCAAAACGTTCCTTTTGTTTTGTTTAATGCCCGAAAATCTATACAAAGACGATAATCTCCTGTTTTCTTCTTAATAAGGATAATAGGTGACGCGTATTCTGAAGTAGACTCTGATAATTCCACAGTTTTCTAATTCTTTTACCATAGCTCTAACACGCTCGCGTTCTAGTTGAGACAAACGGTACGGTCTATATACTACGGGATTATTGTCATTTAATTTAATATTCAATTCTGAACCTGGTACGCACCCAATTACATTTATTGCAAAAGCAAAGCATTGTCTGAATTCGGTTAGTTTGTGACTATGGCCCAAGTCTTTATCTATATTTAACATTGAAATTTCTATTAATGTAACAGGAGGAGCAGAGTTATGTTCAATTTTATTCACATAAATATTTTGAACATTTTTAAGGGTAGAGCTCGAACCAATAGCATATCTTTTGTTAAAGAATACAGAGTTGAAGATACACATTTAATCACTACTCGTCCCTGACCATTGTTTAGCTGTATGACACTCTGAATAACTTCATATTCACGTTTAGGTAATTGGCAACAACTAGCTTCTATAAATAACTGACCCTTATAATTTGGAGATGAGTAAACATATATTTCATTATAACCAAACAATTGACGTAGATTCAGCGACGTACAGCAAAACCTTAGTTTATTTTTGTAAAATTATTTTTAAGCTATCCTTATTTTTATAAACAACTATGTGATCTTGTTCAGTATACGTTTGTCCCAGCAATAACGAAACTCTTAGTAACTCATCTGCCACAATAAGAACTTTTACCGTAGCTTTAACAAGATCCACTTCAATTTAGACTTCACACGTACCGAGACATTTCACTACAGAATCTCCAAAGCCTCGTAAAACTGGCAAATTATTCGTTGACCACGAACCAACTAGACTTTTAGCAACAGATTCCTTCAACATGGCACATTGACTACAAAAATCTATAAAACAGTCTAATTCTATGTCATTAACCTTGGCTGATTTAAAGTATTTTAAATCATAATCAATATTTTTGGATATAACTAAAACGGTCTTGCTGTCTGCGGACCCTTGTTTCGGACAACTATCAGTTAAATGACTTATCTTATGACACGTGTTACACCTTTTAATAGTATGTTTACACTTAAAATATGGGTGTCCTTCCTCACCACAGTTATAACATTTTGGTACAGTTTTAATATCAGAACTACCTTGTATCGGCTTAAAGACTTTTGGCCGTCTGTTGTCAGAAGTGCTTGCTTGAATTGTGGTGTTCCTTTCAGGCCTCCTAACAGTTTTAACATTTCTTAAGAAAATTTATCTGGTTCCGTAAATTGAACCGCTTCGGCACTTGTTCTAACAGACCTATCCTCAATGCCAAATAAACATTATTCAAACCAAGAAAACACTAAGCTTGGCAAACCTTGATACCACTTTTGCGCTAAACCAACTTATTTCGGAAGTGCATAATGAATTATCTGACGTTTTGACCAACCATAAATAGCCGCCCGTACACCCGTTCACCTTAACAATCCAGGTATCAACGGTTTGATTACTCTTAGACGGATCAAACTCTGGAACAACGTTTATGGCAGGATAACGATCGCTACTATTATTAGGTTTAATCGCATTAACTAGTTCTTTAAATGTATCTATTAAGTTACTTGCAGAAAAACACGACGAACACCCTCATTGATCGGTGAACATCGGTGTTTTTCTTGCACTTCTTACTCTATGTGTGTCCTTTGAGAAATCGGGGGTATACCCCAATGTACTGCGGTCACGCAGCGCACGTATAGATTTACTTCCGTCACGTTGCATACGCCTGGAGGCGCCGCGATTATTCAGCGAACATTTGGAACCATTTCGCCCGCTGCATCGCAAGCGCTTGCGTCAAGTGGTGCTGGAGTCAGTTCGATACCTTGATCTCGACTGTCGCTCGGCCCAACTGCTAGACGACATTGGTGATGAGCTCGGGCAAGACCTCGTCTTCGTACGCTTACGAGATCGTCGGTCTCTTCCCATGTTTTTGTCACTGAAATATTAACAAAGACTAGAAAGGAAAATGTTTTTTTTTATAATTTCTATTTTATTTATTATATTTAATTGTTTAATATTAAGAAAACATACATGTAGCTACAAATTAAAAGTAATTAATTGGGTTGCGTAAGTGAACAATACATGTTTCAGTTTTTTTTTTATTTAATTCTGAACACAAAATAAATAGAAAATATCTTAAATCCTGATACAGTATTAGTTTTAAATAGTTTGGCTAATACGCTTATGTGAAGCCAAATTATTGACAAAAAATGTTAGTATAGAAGGAGAAAAGAAAACTGACATAATTTAACAATTTGAACCCAACTTGAATATTATTATAAATCAACAATGAACGATATGGATAGATGTTAACACATTATAAATTGTGTATAAAGTAGAGGGAAATAAAACTTACCTATTTATGTTTTGCCCAATGAGTCCGAAATACCGAGTTATCTTAGCTCGATATAATCCCACTTCTGATTTGTTAGCAAATAATACAATTTATGTTACAGCATATCACTTTTATTTCATCCGTTTATAACTCACAGTTTATTAATCTTACAAATAATCACTGTTACTTAGTACCTTCACTATATCTTTACACCAAAAACTGTCAAGTCCTTTAAAGTCTCAATACCTTAGAACTGAATAGAACTGAATACCCCGCTTGGTTCGTGACGGCCATATTTATCCTCTTTTGTTAGGAGTCAAATCCGAAACTATTACAATAAAAATCTTGCCGGAAATTCAAAGCCACAAAAGCGGAAATCCGATTTACATTTATTAAAGTAGATGGATATTTCAAGAGATAACTACTTACACTAAAATTAGGATCATTCAATATGTTATGCTTAATTGTTCTTTATACTTAATTGCTAACAATTGACTGTTAACTGTGGATAAGCAGTGGTGGATGGAATGGATGGACTGCGTATTTTTAGTATCGAATTCTGTAAACGTGTTAATTAAATTCTTGTAATATTATTTTTAACTTGAAATCGGATGACACTGACGTTAACAACGTAGGAAAGGTACAAATAAAAACAATTATTTGTTTTAATTAATTGTATTCTCAAATCACAAACTCATTTTTCTGCATCCACTGTCTGCACTAACTTTAAAACTATCTCTAATATTATGCTTTGCTGTGACTACAATTTTTGAATCATCGGCAACATTTCTTTAATTAAACGACTTTGCTACGAAATCATTAATTATAATTATTTAATAAGTTTACGTATAATTTGATTCAACAATATTAATTTTTGGGTTTAATAACCATTGTAATTCGTATTTATATTAGTGGTACATTAATAATGAAAATACATTTTTCTTAACAAAATTAACATTTATACAAATATTGCTAAATAATGTTTAATACTGTATTACATCACATTATGCACATTGAAGTAGCAAGACGTCCTTATAACAATTAGCAATGAGATATTAAACTTATACATCAAACAATTAAATTAGGATTTTTAAGTCGTTATAAGTATTTTTCTCGTCACAGTTGTTGGAGGGGAGTTTTCACAAAGTCCACTGTAACGAGATTTGCCAATATCGATCATGGTAGGGGTTTGGCTAATTTTCCGCGCCTTCCCTTTTCTGGAGTCATTATTATTATAATATTATCTTATATACCTATTTTGTGCCAATACATTTGAGCATAGAATGTATCCCCTTCGTACGTTTAATAATTTATGCCCTTAGTCGATCCATACAATTCCATCATCATAAAAAATAGGTACATCGTTATATATATGAACCTGGATATGCAAATTCTTCAACAAATTTTATTTCATAAAAATTGTGCATTGAATCATGGGATAATAACTGAGGGATCCACGTCATTTTCAATATCAATATATTGAAACTGACGTGGATCCCTCAGTCAGCCTACATTAATTAATGTGTTTGTCTATTGAAAGTGACTGGAAAGGAAGAAAAAGAAGTAGGTAGGTATTCTGTTGTTACGACAAGTACCTACATTTCTATAGTGTTTTTAAATAGAAAAACTTAATTTAAAATAAGCTATGATATTATGTAAGCGATAGAAACTTGTCAGCATTTATTACTTAAAATTATTTAAATATTAAAAATATGTTAAAACGCGTCCAATTTAATTTTATCCGAGTTCAACTGTTTACAAAGGTTTACGTGTTTTTTTTTCAATCGTTTTTATGCTAAAGCGAATTCTCATGACTATAAATTGGAAAAAAGGAAAAAATACGCAAGCGACACCTACATTTGTAAATAGTGGAATATCTAAGAGTAAAACTCATTTCATAATAGCATCACAATGATATTTAAAAATAAAATTACAAAAATACAAATACTATAAAAATATCTTGTAAATCACATAGGTCTTAGGCCAATACAAATAAATATTATGGAAAATGGGTATTTTACGCTATTAAATATTTTAATATTGATATTATTTTATATGTAACTAGCTTATCAGACAGACGTTGTTCTGCCCTTTTCAACGACCCTTTGTCATGTCCTATTATAAAAATTCGCAAAAAATATATATTGTGGGTCATCATGGGCAAAAAACTATTCTATCTCTCAAGTTGGACCAAACTGCACACGGTTTGCAAATTTGATTAAAATTGGTTAAGTAGTTTAGGGGTCCATCGCGGACAAACAACGTGACACGTAATTTATATATATTAAGATGAGGGTTAATTAATACGCGCTACGAAATTTTTACCATGGTTGAATAAAAGGCTAACGTTTTATATGTGCCTGATCCATTTTTATTGACAAATTTGCTTTAACATTTTAACAAAACAAAAAGACTGGTGCGTTAAATAGAACAACAATAGGTAAGACTAAAATTCAACAACAAAAACAAAAACAATCAAAAAAGAATACAACTACTACTTCTTAAAACATTATTTACACTTCCACAATATTGTAATGGTCTCCACACACGCTCAGTTTAACTGATCATTCCAACTGATCCGTTCAAACAAAACTGTTGATATTCTTTGGATGGATTTTCGATATATTGATAAATAAACTTACATATAAAATTTTATTTATATGAAAAATATATAATATTTTTCATTATAAACTTGTCAAACCCGTAGTGACGTATTGCGGAATTTCCGCGCGAACGAATTTTAGAGACGGCAAATAATGTGTTTATTTTAATTTTAAACTCTAAATCACCGGTCATTAAGTTTAATTATAATATATTGGACATACGATCTTTTAAAATAACAATCGTATCAATATTATAGAGAAGAATAACATTACAAATTTAAATCTGCATAGGTGGTGTGGACACTTGAGATTGGGCATGTTTTTATTTTTCATTTAATATTTTTTTAATCTAATTTAGGATTTGCAGTTATTATAAATGATTTTGTTTTTAGATTAATATAAACATTTCAATTTATTTTTAAAAACACATGTATTGAAGCAATGCATCTGCGATAAACAAGTTGAAAGTCATAAGACACGGAATTTCCTTGCAAACAACATTTGTGGAATCCGCCCTTAAGACACTATAATCCTGTCCTGCGCCAATGGTCTTCGTTGAGGCAGGCCGCCATGACCGAAATTCGGTCTGGAGGACGTTATTATTACATATTCTAAACTTCGAATTAAAGGCAGCTCGTGATTAAAATTACAAATCATCCGTATTTCAATCAGATTTTCTCAGCATTTTTAAAACGTTGGTTCCTCTCAGGACAGAGGTATTTTCCGAAACAGTGGTAAATTCTATTTTTATTATTTATTCTGGTAATAACTATATATATATATATATATATATATATATATATATATATATATATTATATGAATATATATATATATAATTGTTATAAATATATCAAATATCGGTGATATTAATATATTTATAACAATCGATATATCGAAAATTCAATATTTAAAAAAATATCAACAGTTTTAGTTTGAACTGATTAGTTGGGATGATCGTGATGAGTGATGAGGTGTGTGGCGTTCATAACTTCTAGTAACAAATTAATGTTATTTTCAATATAAATGTGCACACCCACGACCAACAATGAAAAACGGAGCGCTGCGTACATCTAAACATCAACATAATGTGAATCAATATGCACGTACACGACATGTGCACAACGGTCGACACGAGTCAAGAGGAAAAGATCAAAAGCGCGGTGAGACGAACTAGTGTTTACACATTAGCTTTCTATTTCATTTTGTTTTCGTTTATTTTAATTTCGTAGCAATCGGCCTATCAAGCAACATAAACAAAATAAATGAAACAACAATAAATTTATGATGTTTTTGGAGCTTTACAATAATCAGCCATTTGTCATTGATGCAAAAATCTGGCATCAAAAACAAAAAACATGAGAGAACGACATGATCTAATAATTATACTGGCTTTGCAAATGCAATGCAAATACCGCTAGTATGACGTGGTCGTCCATTTCGTCAAGCTGACGTAGAAATGAATACACTCGACTGTGTAAACGGTAACGGTGTAGCCTAAGGCCACACGAATACTTCGAAAAACATACATACATAAACACTCACACCTGTCACCCAGAGGGGTAGGCAGAGACTACAGACTTCCATTTAGCACGATCCTGACAGACTGGGGGATAAGTCGCGCGCGTCCGTAGGCTTCCACCACATAATCCTAGGCCCACAAGCCGAAAAAACAGATTCGGCTACTCGCCGTGTGGTAGCGGCGTAAAATATACCACTCCCCAGTTTTCGGAGGAAGGAGTTTCCAGAAGAAGGAGCAAAAAGGAGTTCCCAGCGCCCCGTTAATAAATAAACGGGGGGAAATCTCCGGGAGGAAAACCGGTGACGAGGTTCGCTACCCATCACGTTCTGTCTCCCGTGGGGTGAAAAGAGGATTGCGGAGGCCCGTCTATTTCGAAAAACAATTCGTCTTTAAGAAGTATTCTAGGGCTGAATCTGGATAACAGGGTGGGAAATTGTATGATAAGAGAAAAATGTGGTGTGCAAGATGATGTTGTGACCAAGATTAAGAAAGGACTGCCTCGATGGTTTGGTCATGTAGAAAGAATGAACGAGAAAAGAGTGACAAATAATTTATATTGCAGATGTGAACGGCAGAGTTGGGAAGGAACGCCCTAGAAGAAGTTTCATCGACCAAATTAGCGATATTTTGAAAATGGGTCACATTAGGAGTAGTACCCTTAACTGACAAGCGTGTGTGCGTAGATATATGAATGTAAAGGAGGCGAAAGAGGTGTGTCACAATCGTGCCAAGTGGAAGTCCGTAGTCTGTGCCTACCCCTCTGGGTGACAGACGTGAGTGCTTATGTTTTATAATTCGTCGAATTGTGAGACGAATCACGAGCACGCATGTGTAAATATTAAATACTTGGTCGGGTATGCTTCGCTACTCGGCCTGAGCCGATGTTGACAGCGATAAACCATCTTGGTGGTCATCTTTTTTTTTTCGTTTTTTTTTTTAACATAGGAGACAAAGTCGTAGGAACGAGATGTCCGATAATCTAAACGTTCCATATGCACACGAACACGTGTCAAGAAGTTGAGCACGGTTTTTGCGTCACTTGAAATTCAACGAGCGCTCCGTCTGTCTTTCTTTTTTGGTCTGAGAATACACAATGCATTTATAATTAAGAATTTAGATAAACATTTTCACGGCTACATATAGATGTAAACTACACAGTTATCAAAATATTTAACGTTTACAAATTTGTAAAATAGGTTCTAATAATTATATTTCGAGTCATTTATTTATTGTCACATTTAATTAATAACCCTACTCATATTTGCCTATTACTTATGATTATTTTAAATAGGTAGGTATTTTGTTTAGTTTAACATATTTAATACGTTCCTGACACGTATTTTATTTGTTTTCTATTATGTTTCCTTGTTTTCGAATACCTCCTAAGATACTTTTTATGACCAAGCATTATTGTAAATTATCCAATATTATTTGTAATTAAGTCGATGCTTCTAAATTAACATAAAAAAGATACACATTTTTTCTGTTTACAATTTATTTAAAGGAGATCGATTCTATTACATCCTGTTGGTTACGTTTTACATAGTATAATTAGCGTGTCCTAGATCAAACTC